CCTTCTCTCTCTCTCTCTCTCTCTCTCTCTCTCTCTCGCTCGCTCTCTCGACATTTACCAAACTTTCGATCTCTGGCGTCTTCTTTTCTCTCAGATATCATGTCCGTGGCTGGCAGTCTTTCTCTCTTCACACTCCATGATTTTTCAATCTACGTGCTTCTCTCTCTCTGGTTATACATTTGCTATGACTTGCACTAGCGTGGGGCAATTTATGTGTCTGCAAGCGTCTGTTAGCTCTGGTGCAGTCCCTGCCACTCTCTGGTGATTTCGTCCTGAGCGGAGGATTTATTGAGAGAAAGTTGGCGAAGTCGAATGATTGCATGAACTGGTTCTCCATCGGTGGCATCCAACAGAAAGCATACCGAAAGATGACGAGAACAAGGACATCCGTTAAAATTGGAACGATACAGAGAAGATTAGTATGGCCCCTGCGCAAGGATGACACGCATAAATCGAGAAATGGTCCAAAAAAAAAAAAAAAGAAAGAAAGAAAAAAAAGAACAAAGCCTGACGTCTTCATGAAGACTGCAGTTTTTCGTAGTCTTCCAAACTTTGCTCCAACGGTCTGCTGGGCAAAAACTCTGCTCCAGTTCTGAATGTGATATCCGTTAAAATTGCAAAAAAGATACAGAGAATGGTAATTACTAATTACTAATTACTAATTACTGATTACTAATTAGCATGGCCCCTGTGAAGGGGTGACACGCATAAATCGAGAAAAATGGTCCCCCCAAAAAAAGAGGTGTCGGGGAAGCTGTGGTCTTCGATGTTCTTCGGTCCACTGCTGCTGTATGGACTCTCACTCTTTGTTTTTATGATTGGGACGATGCAGGAGGTTCTGAGAGTATTTGGCGAGGGGCTGTCTGTCCTTGCGCAGAAAGAAAGGGATATGCAACAGGAGGAGGAGGAGGAGGAGGAGGAGGAAAGGAGGCAACAAAGGGGGAGTGGATTGGATTTCCGAAAGCGCCAAGAGGAAGAACCCGCAGGACGACACGAAAGAAGAGCAGACCTAACTGAAAGACAAGCAGCGGCCATGAAACAGCAAGTGGAAGAGGAAAGACATCGAAGAGGGAGTGGGACCGAGTTCCGGAAGCGCCGACAAGGAGAAATGACAGAAGGAAGGCAAAGCACAGGTCAAACTGCAAGGAAACAAGTGGGAAAAGAATGGATGGAGGGGGAGGAACCCAAGACTGGGCAGTGGAGAAAAGAGTGGGGGGAGAGTGAAAGGGAAGGGAAGTCGAGTCTGAAGCGCAGAAGGGTTGGCAGTGGAATGCTGGACACCATTCCCGCAAACCTGGAGGAAGAGCCAGCAGTGAAAACATCAGGGCGAAGCGTCCAAGAACATGGTGTCGTGTTTTTCTGCCAGCAGCAGAAGGTCCCAGGGGCGAAGGCGGCAGGAGTCGAAGAAGACGCGGCCATTATCAGCCGATTGCACCGCGGTGCAAAAATGCCTTGCCACCAGGGGTTGAGTTGTGTTGTCGCCGAAAAACGCGAGTGTAAAACAGTCCGTAAAAGAGCMGTTGTAAGTACTTCCGTTTCCTTTTCTGGKCATTTAAATGGACCATCTCAGCAATGGGATGCTGTTGGAGCTACTGCAGATCACATTGCAGCATCATCGATAGTGTCTGCCCCTGTTTCCATGCGTGTTAAAGAAGCTGGGCAAGAAGCTGGGCAAGAAGCTGGGCAAGAAGGACTAGCTCCGGCTGCTGCTGCTCGACGGCAGAAGTGTACAGGAGAGCTGGCAGCAGCACTGCCAAGGCTTTCACAGACCGTTTCTGTCCGTGCGGAAGATCCGCGAGCTGGGTGGCGAGGTGCAACCGTACAAACAGCATCGACTCCAGTAGGCTGTGTGGATGCCAGTACAAGCATACGGGGACGTGGTCAGGGGTCGAGTGTTGCACAAGCCGATAGGCGACAATGTAAAGTCCTTGGTGCTTCAAACAAGACAGATGGACTGGGTCAAGGGGGATCAGGAGATGCAAGATCAGACCAGCAACAGGCTGCAGTGAAACAAACAGCATCCTCTGGAATGAGCATTCCTCCCATTGTGGAAGCTCCGCTTCGGAGGTTGCATAGTTCGGCAACGAATGGGGAGCCACTTCRGAGATTACATAKTTCRGCRACCAATTTGGAGCATGGCTCATCGAGKGATGTTGTGGGCGGTTTGGKAAAACSTGTTCATGGATCGAGTCTGCCACGAACTGCCAGCTGCTACGGACAAGCAGCKACAGCCGCACAGAGGACAGGTATGACYGCATCTGTCTGTGCAGAAGCACGTGGACAGGAGTCGCGTGCTGCGACAGCTGATTGGCAGCAGGGTTCAGCAGACCTAAAATTACAAACACGCATGGAGCAACRTGGGTGGGGGTGGAATGCTGCACAAGGCAATTTGCCTTRCGTTGGTGGCGTCCATACCCATATGAAAGAACCCGATGATCGCGTCCGCGCTTGGCGATGTGAGGCAGAACTGAGGAACGCCAATGACCGCTGCTTCGGATCCCGAGGCGGTGCTGGTACCTCATCAAATGTGTTTGGCAGTGGAGGGGACGATCAKAGAGCTGTCCTTGGRAGTCGTGAGAAGCCAGTGGCAATCTGCAGCATAAGCCCATCACACGATGAGCACTGGAAGCCAAGAAACTCCACAGAGGCCAGGTCAGTAAATATTTCGCTGTTCGTTTTTTTTTATTATTATTTTTAATTTTTTAATTTTTATTTATTTATGTTTGTTTGTTTGTTTGTTTAATTTTTCTGTTTTTTTTTTTTGTTTTTTGTTTTTTTTTTTCCCAAAAGGGGGCAACCCCTCACATTATCGTAGAGAAGTATATGCTATATAATTGAGTGCTGGGCACAGGTGGCACAAAAACACTGGTGGCACAAAAGAAAAAGTGCTATTCACTCCAACTGGGGCACATCTGGCTGTTAGTTTCTCTTTCTTGTCAAAAAAAAAGAAATAAGACAATGAGATTCGGAATTAAAGGGAATTTCCTCCCTTTTTTTTTTTTTTTAATAACAATCAACACCCCATCTATTCTGGGGGGCAGCAGTCCGGTTGCTTATCACCGGCAAGCGTAGACCAGGAATCCGAGTAGAAGAAGAAGGGCAGCAGCGAGTAAGAGAAGCACAGCCTCCTGCTGCTGTCGCACTAGACGCCATACAAGGGGGACAGATTTCCAGCCTTATTACAAGTAGCCAGTTTTGTGTTATGCCCAGTTGATTTGTCAATACTGTTGAATAGAGAAATAAGAGGCCGGATTGGTGGGCGCAGAGAGAGTTGTGACAAGTATAGCATGCCGGGAACGCGCGCATTTGAGTCCAAAGGGCACGGCAATGAACTCATATAACCCCTACCTGTTCTTGAACGCAGTCTTGTGCTTCTCTGCAGGATTGACTTCAATCTGCTGATAGCCAGATTCAAGATAAATTCTGGAAAACACCTTGCTACTGACCACTGCATCAAGGAGATTGTCAATATAAGGCAAAGGATAGGCATTCTTGTGTGTCATGTGGTTAAGACTTCGGTAGTCAATGCACGTACGAAACTTACGCGCACGCCGCACTCCATATTCGAACTTGTCGGGTCTGATCCAACCTTTTGCAGGCAATTCTTTGATCTGTGTCTAGATTTCCTCACGTTCAGCCGGCCCCATCGGTGGCAGACACACGTGTCCCTCGGGGGGGCGACTGTCGAGAAGGAACTTAATCTTGTGAATCACAGTCCAGTGTGCTACTCCACCGGGTTCTGCAAGCACATGTGGATATTGATTTGATAAAAAACTTCTGGAACCTACGGTCCTACATCAGCATCCGAACTAGTACAAGTGAAAGTAGAAGCAAGAGTAGTAGTAGTAGTTGGTAGTAGTAGTAGTAGTAGTAGTAGTAGTAGTAGTAGTAGTATAGTAGTAGTAGTAGTAGTAGTAGTAGTAGTAGTAGTAGTAGTCGTAGTAGTCGTAGTCGTAGTCGTAGGAGTAGGAGTAGGAGTAGGAGTAGTATTGGCGGAAGTGGTACTAGTTGATGAAGTAGTATTGGAATGGTTACTATTGCTAAGTGTATGCCATGGCAGCGGCGGACAAGTGAACGAGACAAAACTGTACGCCAGACACCAGAGTTCCCGGCTCGATCCTTCTGGTCCTAGTCCTCGTCACACTCAGTCCTCTGACTCAGCCATATTGCATGCCATCATGTGTTTGTCATGCAACAGCCTCTCGGGGAAACGGATTCTTGGGTGTGTGATCAGTAGACTAGCTTGCAGTGTTCTTTTCCGCCTCAAGGCATATATAAGTTAACGTGCGTAATCCTCAAGCTCAGGTTTTGGATGGTTAGCTGGCAAAATAGAGTGATGGGTGGGGACCACTTTTGTTATGGTGTCCACTGTCCACCTTTTGAACCTCACTGATTTGCAGTTCTGGAGTGGCAAAAAATATGGAGATGCCTTTTGGAACAAGGCTTGCATATCGTTACGTTCGTCCATAGTACTTCCCCAACTCTGGGACCGCTGGTCAGGCCTTAAGAGCCTGCTGCGGATCCTTGTACTGATGTTTGAGCTGTTTGTAAATCTTCGTAAGCAGTCTTCGACTCAACCAGGTCTAGTATGTCTCTTTGCTGTACCTACTACCCAGCCTTGGCTGCCTCAGCTTGCAGACAAGTGTTTTGATATGAGACTCGAGCATTGACGCCATGATTAAGGACTGTTTCCGCTGCAGTGTTGAAGTACAAAGTACACCTCCACTTGTCCAACCCAACCGACAACGTTCTGCCTATCTGGAAAATAATTCTTCGTCTTTATTAATGAACGAATGAGCCAGAATCAATGTACAATTGTTCCCCCTTACAACCAGCCGTGGAAAGACCCCTCCTTTGTCACTTCCCGAGCAGTGTTTGGTGGGACGATGAGACCCTTATGTGCGGCCGTTCTCTGCCAGATGTAGCAGGCTTTGGTGCAYGTGGTGGTGATGCGATGTGCTTCTCTTGGGCCGGGTCGACTCCTTGGCAGCCCGTCTGACTAGCTGGTGCCCGTATGGCAATGAGCTAAATGTGYGATTGTACTGTTCTTTCTTATTGGTTTGGAACTTTGGATCACAGAAATGCTGTAGATCAGCTGGTGAAGAGGGCGGGTGAAAGGACTGCAGCCGAGAATGATCGTTTGGAAWATGCCGCAAGTTTTGCCAGATCCAAACCGCCAGAACCCCATGTATCGAGGACTTATAGTAGACCMCAATTACGGCAATCGGACCTGGGACGGAAGAGYGACATTGCTGCGAACATCTGCAGTMAGCTTCCAGTGGAAGAAGAGAAGGAGAAGGACGACGACCCCATGGCGCGGTCGCAGTGCGTCGCCGTGAAGGCGCATGTCATTCCCGTCCGCAATCAATCCCTGTYGAGCAGTGTTGAATTCATCGAACAAAGAACGTGGAAACGRACCGCTGAARWATGGAAASAAGGAAAGAAGGATCGTAAGGCATGGYGTGAGCAGGCAGAGGTTGGGAAGACAAAAACAGCAGGGGTGGTTGATGCAATGCGCTTTCGGAATCAAGACAAGAAGGGAGGGACAGAGAGCAACAAAGGCGGAGCAATTGGCGATGCCGAAGCAAAATACAAGACCGCTCTTGGGGGGCGGTATGCCCCGCATACTGGGGGCRAAAATGCGCCGAYCAATGTCAGTGCCTCATCTCAGATTCAAGGAAACAAAGATCGAGCAGAGTTATCGGAGGTGAGACTCGATTGGAGAAGGAAAAATTGTTGCAATCAAGAAGAAGATGACAGTGATCAGGATGCGGGACGGGGCGAGAGGAAGAAGGAGAGCACGGAGCAATTGACTGGAAGGAGAGGGAGTACATGTATCACAGAAGAGAGAAGTGGTTGCCTAGAGGCAAAAGAGCCACCTTATCAAGATGGCGATACCGATGCTGAAAACCAGGGACCTGTAGTATTGGATGGGAGGGGACTGGGTTACCGGAATAAGCAAATGAGCAGTGCCCGTACCTCGGCGAAGCAGCAGAAACAAGCAGTTTCATCGGAGACTCAACTGTGGACTAACGTGGTGATGCAGTCCAATTCGTGCTCTCGGACTGGGAAGAAAGAGGTGGTCAGTGGAGTTGAACATGTGAATATTGGCTGGGCCAGAGGCAACCATCATGACTGGTGTAAATCGCATGGAAGTCGTGATTGTAGTATGTTGTGCGCCTCGGAGGGAACAGGCGTAACACAGCTTTTGAAAGGAGAAGATAGGTCACAAGTGGACATGTGCAGACAAGCAGTGACAGCAGGTTGGACCGAGCAGGGTGGGGGCATGACACATAAGGAGAGAGAAAGCAGGACGTTCAGGAGAACGGGGGCTGAAAATGGGTTGCGGCCCCGTTCGGATCACAAGAAGACGAGGAAGCCTGGACTGACAGACGGCAGGATGACGTCTCGAGAGGAAATTGCAAGAAATCAGCATGTGATTGCAGAGAGGGACCCGTCTGGACAAGCAGTGCCCGCGAGCGGCAATCCCTTCGTCAAGGCTGCAATTAAGGAACAGATAAAGAACGGGGAGTACGATGGGGATGACTATTCTGACCTAGCCGATTTCGTAGTCTGCAAGCCTGGCCGGGACTACGACGAGTTCCTTAGTAATTACACTCCTATCCTTCCGATTCGGCCGCGAAAAACACTTGGCAGCGCAAATTATCATGCTGAAGATAACGAGTCCGGCGAAAATGAGGATGAGGCTTATGAAGTCGAAGGCGGGTCAGCGGACTGCCAATCTAGTGAGGCTTACGAAGTGGAAGATGAGTCGACAGATTGGGAATCTTGCGGAGATGGGGGCAAAGTGTACAAAGTTGAAGATGAGAATCATGAAGAGGAAGATTCAGAAATAGGCGGTTGGTCAGAGAACGATAACTTGAACGAGTACAGTGATGACGAGGAGGAGGAAGAAGAAAATGAAGCGGCAGGAGTCCCAAGCTGTCGTAAAGATTCGGGGAGTAGGATAGCAGACATGCACAAGAAAGATGGGGACCAGTTGGACAGCGGAGAGGTGGAAGAGGTGGAAGAGGCGGAAGAGGAAGAAAGTGATGAGGATGTAGGACCAGTTGAGGAAGAGGTGGAGCAAGACAACGATGCGGAGGAGGAGGAGGAGGAGGAGGAGGAGG